GATGGAACCAATAAAAAAATTTGGTGAAAATTATTGGTTTTTTATTTATTTCCTTTGACAATTAAATGTTTTCTGACCATCTAAAATAGTTATTTACTCTCTAAAAATGAATTCCTCAAAAATTACTAGTTTTCAAAGTGAAAAAGCAATCACTAATAACTGTAGTTCACAGCAATTTGTATCCCGAACGTTTAGCAGTCAATTTCCATGTCAAATTGTCCCCTGAATCCAAAAAGACCGTCCAAAATTATGAAAGTAGAGCAGTTTTTGAGGTATAGTCAATTCCATATTGTATGGAAAATTGACTATATCTCATTAAATGTTCTAAAAATATACTTTTATAACTTTTGACGAGATTTTCGGATTCATCCAAGTTATAATAGGAATGCAATGTCAAAATTTCAGACTAAAATCCAGGAGTTTGATTTGGGTGTCACGACATGTAATTTTATATGATTTATATTTGATGAAGAGTTAAAAAACAACAACTTTATTGTGATAGTTGTAGAAAAAATAGTGTATGCCGCTCCCATTTAATGTGCTATTAAGTCAATTCCACTCATTATGACCATAATATGTTATTTAATTAAAAATTTTGTTTAATAATATATTATTAAATAAAAATAATTTAAATAATTTTTTATTAAAATTTGTTATAACAAAATTATTTTATAAGAACTTTTTACTTTAAACAATACAAATGTTTTATTAGATGGAACCAATAAAAAAAACAATTTGGTGAAAATTATTAGTTTTTTATTTATTTCCTTTCTTTGACAATTAAATGTTTTCTGACCATCTAAAATAGTTATTTACTCTCTAAAAATTAATTACACAAAAATGACTAGTTTTCAAAGTGAAAAAGTAGTCACTAATAATAATTATTGTAGTTCACAGCCATTTGTATCCCGAACGTTTAGCATGTCAAATTGTCCCCTGAATCCGAAAAGACCGTCAAAAACTATAAAGCAGTTTTTGAGGTAAGCAGTTTTTGAGGTATAGTCAATTCCATATTGTATGGAAAATTGACTATATCTCAATTAATGTTCTAAAAGTATACTTTTATAACTTTTGACGAGATTTTCGAATTCAGGGGACAAATTTTTCAATAATATTTAGTATAGGGTCCTTTTAAGGGGTGGTAAATCCAGTGCCTTGAAAAGATTTTTTTTTAAATCAGTAATACGAATTCCTAAAAATTTACTCTCTAAAATATGGTGAAATAGGGGTGAGTCGCAAACAAATGGGTCATACTGTATAACAATTTTTCTTTGTTTCGCCCACTTTTATAACAAATTTCAACAAAATCCGTTCAGATGTTACTTTCAAAAATGGCGAATGCACCAAAATAAATTTTAACTGAATTTTGGAGAGATTTATATTTGATGAAGAGTTAAAAAAACTAACTTTATTAGATATTTGTAGAAAAAATAGTGCCATTAAGTCAGTCCCTTTCATTATGACCATAATATATTAATTTTAATTAATATTATTTAATAAAATATTTAATTTTCATTAAAATTTGTTTTATCAATTTTTAAAAGATAACTCTCAATACTATACTAATACAAACTACTTTGGCTTGGCATTATGGGCCTAAAAAGTATAGGATCTGGATATTAAAAGAAAGTGTCCAATAGGGACACTTGTTACACTTTCAAAACTTCGCTAGCTTCGCAACTTTTATCAAACATGAGATTTAAATTTCGAAAACTAAGAAGGTATTATAAAAGAGTGAATAAATGTTAGGCTTACCTGAAGACAATGTCCAGAGTTTCATTAAAATCCGTTCAGCTGTTACTTTCAAAAATGGCAAATGCGCCAGAATGAATTATAACTAAATTTTAGAATGTTCCAAATAACGGGGTAACTTATAGATGGAATTAAAAATAAGCGGTTATGCAAGATATTATAGGAATGCACAGTCAAAATTTCAGACTCATAAGATTAACATTTGATGATGAGCTTCAAAAAATAAAATTTTCACTTTTCAACTTTTTCCATAAGGTATTTTTACCGTTGACATTTGTGATTCTCAAAAATTTATAAATGCATCAAATTTTGATATTAAATTAAAAAATTCTACTCCCATACTTTAATTCGTTTATTAGACATTTCCCACCTATATTATAATGAGATCATTATGATACCAATTTTTTTACGATACGGATTTTTAACCAATAAAAATTTACACGGCACATTTATCAATTTTAATAAGTTATTGTTTACATAAAAAAAAAATTTGACATAGTATGCCTCATATTTTGTAAAAATATGGTGATTTTGCTCCAAAAATACAGTTTATCAAGATCTACACTTTAAATGAAGTTCGGTTAAAATCGCACAATAAATAAAGATTTTACAGGGATGAGTCGCAAACAAATGGGTCACACTGTATAAATAATTTTTTTTTGTTTCGCCCACTTTTATACCAAATTTCATTAAATTCCGTTCAGATGTTACTTTCAAAAATGGCGAATGCACCAAAATAAATTATAACCGAATTTTGGAATGTTCCAATTTAGCCCCTTAGATTTATATTTGATGAAGAGTTGATGACCATAATATGTTAATTTTAATTATTATTATTTAATAGTATATTATTAACTAACAATAATTTAAATATTTAATTTTTATTAAAATTTGTTTTATCAATTTTTAAAAGATAACTCTCAATATTAAACTACTTTGCCTTGGCATTATGGGCCTAAAAAGTGAAGGATCTGGATATTTAAAGAAAGTCTCCAATAGGGACACTTGTTACACTTTCAAAACTTGGCAAACTTCGCAACTTTTATAAAACATGAGATTTAAATTTCAAAAACCAAGAAGGTATCATAAAAGAGTGAATAAATGTTAGGCTTACCTGAAGACAATGTCCAGAGTTTCATTAAAATCCGTTCAGCTGTTACTTTCAAAAATGGCAAATGCGCCAGAATGAATTATAACTAAATTTTAGAATGTTCCAAATAACGGGGTAACTTATAGATGGAATTAAAAATAAGCGGTTATGCAAGATATTATAGTAATGCACAGTCAAAATTTCAGACTCATAAGATTAACATTTGATGATGAGCTTCAAAAAATAAAATTTTCACTTTTCAACTTTTTCCCTGTGGTATTTTTGCTGTTGACATTTGTGATTCTCAAAAATTTATAAATGCATCAAATTTTGATATTAAATTAAAAAATTCTACTCCCATACTTTAATTCGTTTATTAGACATTTCCTACCTGTATTATAATGAGATCATTATGATACCAATTTTTTACGTTACGGATTTTTAATCAATAAAAATGCAATACACGGCACATTTATCAATTTTAATAAGTTATTGTTTACATAAAAAAAAAATTTGACATAGTATGCCTCGTATTTTGTAAAAATATGGTGATTTTGCTCCAAAAATACAGTTTATCAAGATCTACACTTTAAATGAAGTTCGGTTAAAATCGCACAATAAATAAAGATTTTACAGGGATGAGTCGCAAACAAATGGGTCACACTGTATAAATAATTTTTTTTGTTTCGCCCACTTTTATACCAAATTTCATTAAAATCCGTTCAGATGTTACTTTCAAAAATGGCGAATGCACCAAAATAAATTATAACCGAATTTTGGAATGTTCCAATTTACCCCCTTAGATTTATATTTGATGAAGAGTTGATGACCATAATATGTTAATTTTAATTATTATTATTTAATAGTATATTATTAACTAACACTAATTTAAATATTTAATTTTTATTAAAATTTGTTTTATCAATTTTTAAAAGATAACTCTCAATATTAAACTACTTTGCCTTGGCATTATGGGCCTAAAAAGTGAAGGATCTGGATATTTAAAGAAAGTCTCCAATAGGGACACTTGTTACACTTTCAAAACTTCGCTAGCTTCGCAACTTTTATCAAACATGAGATTTAAATTTCGAAAACTAAGAAGGTATTATAAAAGAGTGAATAAATGTTAGGCTTACTTGAAGACAATGTCCAGAGTTTCATTAAAATCCGTTCAGATGTTACTTTCAAAAATGGCAAATGCGCCAGAATGAATTATAACTAAATTTTAGAATGTTCCAAATAACGGGGTAACTTATAGATGGAATTAAAAATAAGCGGTTATGCAAGATATTATAGGAATGCACAGTCAAAATTTCAGACTCATAAGATTAACATTTGATGATGAGCTTCAAAAAATAAAATTTTCACTTTTCAACTTTTTCCATGAGGTATTTTTGCCGTTGACATTTGTGATTCTCAAAAATTTATAAATGCATCAAATTTTGATATTAAATTAAAAAATTCTACTCCCATACTTTAATTCGTTTATTAGACATTTCCTACCTGTATTATAATGAGATCATTATGATACCAATTTTTTAACTATACGGATTTTTAACCAATAAAAATTTACACGGCACATTTATCAATTTTGATACGTTATTGTTTACATAAAAAAAATGACATAGTATGCCTTGTAATTCATTAAAAGGGTAATACTAAATATTCAATTAGGGATACCTCAAGGTAGCGTACTCGGGCCATTATTATTCATAATTTATATAAATGATATGGGAATTGTTACAAGTTCAGAGAATATAAATTTAATTAACTTTTCCGACAATTAGAACAAATCCAGAAACTTGGTTCATGCAACAGCAACTATCGCGAACTTGTATAACCAAATCTTACTCTATATGGGTTCCAATAAGCTAGTACTAAATGAAAATAAAACAAAGTTGGCATTTTTAAGACAATGAGATATAAATAGAGAAATTGAGTATTTGTCTAATGTCAAATTGCTTGGTATTTGGACTGACGAATATTTGGATTAACGCATATATAAAAAGGGATATGCATATTATATATATATATATACTATTACTATACTTGTTGCACTTTCAAAACTTCGCTAGCTTCGCAACTTTTATAAAACATGTGATTTAAATTTCAAAAACCAAGAAGGTATTATAGAAGAGTGAACAAATGTTGGACTTACCTGAAGACAACGTCCAGAGGCCCTTTCGGTGGAGCGGCGACCCGCAACTGCTAGTCCATGGTGGCGGGTAGGCCAGGCGCCCGCCGCCTCGTCGTGTTCGTCGCCTCTGACTCGTGCCGCCAACTCTCACGTACTCTTCCTCCGTGACGCCGCTCGCGATTGCGCAAGGACCCGCTCACCACGCGCGGACTGTGGACCACGGCTCCTCGTCTTCTATATCATCCCGCCGGCCCACTCTCTGCGCCGCCATTGGTCGCGCGACGCATGCTAGTTACGGCCGGAGGGCCACTTGTTGAGGCTCCTTCAGGACCTTCGTTTATCCCCATTAATTACCCCCGGCGTGGGGGGGAACGCCGTGCTGACCCACTGAGCTCTCACTTCATATGGGTGTCATCAGAGGAGAAGGCGGACTCAACTATTCCTCAACTACCATTTCCAGCCTGGAATTAATTCACTTCCCCTGAGTCATACGACAGACAATTCAATGAAATCTTCCTTATAATGCAGCAAATTGTAATATATATATTTTGATGCCTAATGCCTAATATATAATTAGGTTCTGGTTCTGAGACACTTTCCAAGCAGCACAACTGGTTAAATTAACCTTAAATTGAGCCCTCTCCCTGATGGCACAGTTTATTCTAAGAATGTTTTTTAAACCTTCCAGTGGGAATATTCTTAGGATCACGCTATATTTCTTCTAAAGAACATGCTTAAAAGAAATATAGCATAATCCTAAGAATATTCTCACTGGGTACCTATATAATAGTAAAGTATACCATAATCTACGTATAAAGGTACCTATACTTAGTATTAAATACTAAGTAAAAAACACAACCAAAATATTTTTTTATAGTTATTTGTCAAATTAAAACAATATTCGATAACAAAAATACTTTTACTATAGGTATCTAAATTATCCGGCTTTTACATAAAACCTTCTATCCAACTTAAATACAATGAAAAATGTTTTTTTATGAAGAACTATTTGGTTTTTTCTTTTATGAAGAATTATTTTATAAGGAAATATTTTTTTTTATATTTTATTTTATGTTAAAAATAAATATTTATTAATTTGTATACCGATTTTTTATTTCTGAATTAACATTTTTATGTATAATAATCCTAACTATCTTCATCTTCAATCTAATCTGACTTATCCCACAAAATTTTCCAATTTTACTTTTTATGAAATAATGTCATACAACTTATGGTTCAGAGGTCAAATTGTTTATTTAATATTTTTAAATAAATATATCTTAATATGTCGCAAATTTTTTTAAGGGGACGACAAATACATTTCACCGTCATATTATGACAGTAAGGCGTATTTGTCGCATCCTGAAGAATTTTACGAATGTTGAATACAACATATTAGAACGTAGGTATCTGACATATTTGGAAATATTCTCAAAAGCTTCCTAGAAGCTCCATAAGAAACCTTCTAAGAACATTCCAAAAACGTATTTTTAAAATGTTCTTAGGATGCTTTTTAGGAAGGTTTTAAGAAGCTTCTAAGAATCTTATTGCATCATTAAAAGGGTATCTATTGGATGTTTTAAAAGAACATTCTTAGAAATAAGGGAAGGTTCTAAGAATATTCCATTATTCCGAGTCATATCTTCTTAGAGGATTCTTAGAATCAAATTTTGCTATCAGGGCTACAACTTTCTCTTGTATAGTTTTGGTATCGGCTCTGAGATATTTATGAAGGTGAAAAATTCCTTTTTTACAAAAATCGAGGTCGAAAACTTACATATCTTTCTGGAAAAGATAGAAATCGAAAAGATAATTCCAGTTTACGTATAGATTATAGTTAAAGGAAAAAAATAAGCTGCTGTTGATAAAAATCCATGGATAAATAGCTCCATAGCCTTCATTTGCTGGTGAAAACGTTCTCCGTGCTCATCACTTACGTCGCCCAGGTTGTGCGGGTTACACAGTAAAAAATTTTGCCCGTGTAAATTTTTAAGTGTAGGGGTAAAAATATTAGAGTTGATTTGTAAGTGTAAAAGTTATACTACAAAATACACTAGGAAGCATTTAGTGCTTATTAACTTTATTAAACACATTTAAAGAATATGAACATTATTCATTGGTACAGTCACACTATTTATAATTAAAATAAATCAAAAGGATAGAAAAACTTAATGCGAGTGTTTATTACCCATTAATGTGTTAAATAGTGAGAAAATGTACACTACAGTGCATGCCAATTTCTTTGTTTGTTTTGATGTTACTAAGAGCTCCTTTTTCTTTACACTACTAGTGCACATTGTATCACAATTAAAGTTAAATTACACCAATAGTGGCAAAATAGACTGAAAAAACTGGTAATAACCGAAATGCGTTTTAAAATGTTTGGTTGGTACCTATCTAACTACGCAGTGCATATCCGGAGATACCCCGTTGTGGAAGTGTGGCATTTTTGTTCAGTTAGATTTTAATTACGGTGAATCCATAAGGGGACATTCTTATTTGTTGGTAAGTATTATACTTTCTTTTTCTTTAAGCCTAAATACTCAATATATACCAATATGTTAAAAGGATATCCATACCCAACCTATATTATATATCAATAATTTAAGGCAGTAGGTCGGGCACTTGTAAAATTAATAATATAAATACATACACATTTAATTTACTTTTAATTTTCAAGCGTAATGGTTGTTATATTAACCTATACCTATATTTTTATTAATATTATGGAAAATTTGTACACGTGTGGTAAATACCCGACATACAGCCGCCTGACGCCTTTCTACCAATGGGATCACCTATTTTTTATAACAGAAAAATGGATTACTGATGAATTCTCAAGATAATTCATTGCTTACAAGTTGACAGCCAGTAAAACATTGCATTGATCTAAAACTTTTACGTTTTAAGAAACCATTTTGCTTAAGTCAGCCATACGACTCAAAAATAAAATTATATTTTAAAAGGCACCTATTTTGATCATTGTCATAGATTTTTGTTCCAAATAAATGTTTCTCTTTATTTACCTTTTCGTTTTATTCACTACCACCAATAGGTTTTACTCAAATAATAGTGTTAATTTACACTAGAAGTTAACACTAAAAGAGTAAAAATACCTTTCTAAAATTAGAACTTTTTCAAAGTAGTGTTAATTTACACTTAACAAAAGTGGGATTTCACCCAGGAAGTGTAGAAGTACACGATTTTAGGTAAATTAACACTTTTTAATACAGTGTAAAATTACTTTATCCTCAGTGCTATAGTGTTAAATCATACTTACTTACTTGGGGAAAATTACACTACAAATTAACTCTAATTTTAGTGTTATAAAACAACACTATTTAGTGTGGACCTGTGTGAAGAGTTGATTTTTTTTACTGTGTATTTACGCACTCGAACTCTCTACTTCTTTGATTCATTTTACACTTTTTTTTTAACTAAATAAAACCATGATAAAAATACCTTTTTGAAATATCAAAAAATATCAGTAAAATGTCACTATTCCAACACGAGAAACAAAAGAATTCACGTTTGCAGAGTCATTTCAAATTTAAATTTTGAATAATGTTTTCGGTGAAAAAAGTTCGTAAAAACTCAAAAAATTACAATCATGCACTTTATTTAGGGTTTCATTAAAGAATAAACATATTACAAAATAAAATAAAAAAAATAAAATAAAAATCGTCAAAAAGTTGAATTTTGGTCTTCCACTAAAAAATTCATAACTTATTTGGTGTCAGAAGTGGGATTCGAACCCACGCCCACAGAGTGGTTTAAATATGTTAGGGTCACAATTTGGGATGGAATAAACTGTTTTTTATATTTAACTAACTAACAAAAGGATTTCTTAGAAACCGTAGTAATATTTTATGCAAACTGGTCAACATTTCTTAGGGTGTTTGAATAAAAAAATATTATTGTGATTTTAGTTCATCCCAAGCATTGATCTTCAAATCCCAAAACTTTTAGTAAAATCTGTCATTAGGTGAAATTTCATGGAATGACTCAGTAGGTATATAGTTTGCAGATGTAAATTTATTAGTCTAATATTTAATTTTGATTCTTGGCATAAATACATGCTTGAATAGATTTTGGTTAAATGATGAAATTATAATCGTAAACATGTAATGAACTTCCAAATTAAATTTCAAAATCATGTTCACTTGATTTCGATGTATTGATGGTTGAAACCCTAGAGCCAAACTGAATATTTTCGTTATTGCATTTAAAATTGAGTTTATAGGTATGATATCCCGATCGTACTAAAACTAATTTAAATCGGATTGCGATGAAGTAGAAATATCGCAGCTTTTATTTTATGGCAAAAATCAATTTTATATTTAAATTATGCTTCAAACTTGAATTGCAAAAATGCATAATTATTTTAATAAATGTCAACTTTTATTTTTTATGATTTTGACATTCTAAAATACAGGCGTAACAGGCGTATTTTTTCTACTCCCACCTTTAAAACGCCCTTTATCGTACATGTTTCCATGACACTAAGTGACCTTTTAAATACACATTGACAAGTTGTAGCTTTATGGCGCTTTAGTCACGGGCTGAAGTTAGCAACAGGTTTTTAGTCACGGGCTGAAGTTGCCTTTCTTGTAAAATAATACTAAATGTGAAATTTATTTTATTATATCAGTACAAAAATACAAAAGTATTATATAGTTTCTCAACGCCAATATTTGAAAAGTTTATATAAACATTGTACTGACCTTTTAATTTCGCCGGCAGTAAACTATAACCTAAATTCGGGCACGGACTCCACTGTAAAGTGCTCCTAAAACATTTTCTTTACTTTCACTGTGAAAACTGTCAATTTTCAAGAAATACATTTTGATTTATAACCTTTATAATCTGTGTTTATAAAATAAAAAAAATTAACATTTGACGGTGACACAGATTCCCCTATTGTTTCACAGATGGCGCTCTATACAAATTTTTGTTTTAAATCATTTTAAGATAATAATAAGTATTTGTCGTAGGAAAAGTATAATATACACCTCGTTTATAAACTTTTCTACAGGGTGTTATGTAATTAATGTTATATATTAAAATACTGAATATCTTTTGACATAAGGAATAAAGGAAAAATATTTTAAAAAGCATTTTTCCAAAGATAAAGAAAAAATATGCATTAGAAGTTTTTTATATTTTTTGTGATACGCCACTGGT